AAATAGAATGAAAAAAAATATAATACAAAGTCTTATTCTGTTCACCCTTAGTTTGAATGCTTCCACAAATAGAAGAAATTAAGTAAGCAAAAAAATTGGACAGGGTAGATTTTTCCTGAAACTATGAGAAAGTAATTTGATTTTCTGCCCCAAACTAGAATTCCTTACTGGAAATAATTAGGCAAGAAGGAACCTTGAAAACACAGGACTTTTGTCCAGCAGGAGAGGCTTATTAGGAAAGTAATAGAGAACCAAATGGAAGATGAAAATCATGACCCTGTATGAATGCAGAGGGTTCCCCAGGCTGAACCCTTATGCTCTCTCACCAGCTCATTCAGTCAAACTAGATCGAAAACAAGAGTGTAAGAGGCACAGAGCTGTACCTGCACAAGATCACTGTAAACAGAGTAGGATTTTTTATCTGGAAAAAAGATAAATGAAGGAAATCCTGGATACTGTAGTTACAGTGTGGGATGGAGAAAACGGGTTTGCTGTGTCTTATAACATACGATGTGGAGAGCACAAGGGACGTTATGAGGGAGCAGGTTTAAAAGAAACCCTGCATATTCTGTATTCCTTAAGTGCCATTGCTTGTGGTCAGCCCTGGGGAGTGCAGTGATGTAGGAAGTTCTGGAGACTAAATCTGGAGATGTGTCAGACAGGTGACCTGACAGTACCTGCGAGGGGTGACGGCACTGGGTTGATCCCACCCTGCCAGCAGTGCTACAGCGATGTCGAGCCCTGAGCTGAGCAGCAAGTGCCCAGGGCCAGGAGCTCTTCACACCACCAGTATAACAGTTGCCACTCTAGACACTCACCACGAAATCAGGGTCCGTGTCCCAGTCGTCTCCCTGAGCCTCCACTTTCACTGACACGTTGTGTCCCACGACTGCTTTCCACATCTGCACAACAAGGACGTGGTGTCACCCAGGGTGGCCACACACGGCCACAGCAGAACCTGGGCTGGAAGGAGCCCTTACAGGCCACCTGTCCTCACGTATCTGTCCCTCATACAGTTTTGGGCATCCCAAAATAGCTGATCCTGAGCCCCAGCATGTCTTACAGCAAAAAACATAGGGAGTGTAGGTGTAAACCACACCCTTCATGCATCCTGACTCCGCAGCAGGAACACACACCTTATTATAATGTAAATGAATGCTGGCATCCAATTACCAGATTCTTCTTTTCCAGCACACGTTAATTTTCTGTGCTGTGGGAGGCTGTTCCCTGCGTTACCCCCTTATTAGCATAGTCACGCACACCGCTGTGATGTGCTCCAGCACCATGACATTGCGCTGCTGGAACTGAGGTGGACTCCTCAAGCCTCTTGTTTGCTTTTCAACCTTTTAATCCCTGCCCAGGAGCCTAGAGAAGGGTCAGAGCAAGGCTGGACAGTGGTGTGACAGAGCTGGTGCTGTGTGGTGTTCGTGTCTGTCACATGGAAAAAATGGGAAATGGTGCTAAAAGCACTGAGGATGTAGGGCTAAACTGGCTGAGGCTGTGGTGGAACCGCTCCTGCAAGCCTGGAGGAAGTGATGGACCCAGGAAGAGGAAGTTAAAAGTAATGCGAAATCTAAAACTCCTGCATTTAATTTTCAAGGTGACCATGAAAAAAACATGATGAAAAAGTCTCCCCCCACAAACAACCGCTTTTACAAAATGAGAGAGAGAGAAATGATTAGTTGGCTTGCCCCTACACCCCAGAACAATTATCCTCATCAGAGCCCAATCCCTTCATAACTCACCCTTGTGTACTGCCTGCACTGTTGAGGAACAGCCAGTTCTCTGTGTCACCCAAAGCAGATTTTTCATGGCGCAGAGAGAAAGATGGAAGAGAATGTGGAGGAAAGACTGAGCTGAGCCCTGTTCTCCATCACAGCAAACTGTGACCAAATCAACAGGAAGGAAGAGACCTCCTGTGTGCTGGATCCTCAGTCAAGCAGCAGCTTTTACCATGTGCTGCACTAACCCCTCACTCCCCACGGCTCTAGGGAAGCCTCAGACAGCCCTGAGCACTTGGGGCAGTTGTCCTCTGTGAAAGCAAAATGTTTATGCTGAGTAATTTAGTAATTCTCTGTTTATGCTAAGTAATTAACTAACCCACATCAAAAGCTGCTTAAGTGAATAACCTTGGGTTTAGTGCACTGCACTGCTCAGTTTCAAGCTGTCCTTTCCAGAGAACCAGCACTGTAAGACCAGGGAGCAAAGAGAACAGAAACCAAATGAGCACAGCAGAGATTATTCTTTCTTTTGTTGAACACAGGCCAGGGAGTCAGCTAAGGGAGGAGATGAAGGGCTAAGGCAGGTATACAGTGGAAAGCTGGTTTTAGGTCTTCTCCAGGTGCCTCAGGACCACAGCAGGTCTGTGACATTCCCCACTGACAGCAAGCTGGTGCCAAACTGAATACAGCTAGTTGCAATTAGCAGCAGGGGAAGCAGAAAGGCTCGTATGGACATCACAGCCCTGTCTAACCCAGCCTTTCTTCTCCTTTTCCCCTCCCTCATTTATTGGCATCTCTCATCCTAAAGATTTTTAAAGTCCGTTGCTCATTTTTGTGAAGCATAAGCCAGCAGTAATAACCAGCTAGCACAGGGCTGCTTGTCATCAGGGCAGCTGATTTGAGCTCAAATAAGATGGTCCAAGGTTTTAAATGCTGCTGTAAATGGTTCCTGACCAGCCATTCTCCGAAGGCACCTGCCATACAGTGTGGGAACCATGGCAAACCACAGGCTGTAATCACGTCACAAGGCTCTGGACGTTCTATATGAGAAATATCAGCCATGGTAGCATCTCAACACTTTTTTTGTCCCATTTTTCCACTAGAGCACAAATATAGGGCTACCCCACATCACAGTTGTGCTGGTAGATTTGGAAATGTGGTTCTTTAGAGCCTCAGACACAAAAACCACCACGATGACAGGACAGCAGCCTGAGAAGCAAATGCCAAGCCTTGTCCACGTAAACATGCTTGGTCAGGAAGGAGCTCTCTTTGCCCATCAAACACTAAGCTTTTTTGTAGTCATTTCTCACTTTCCACTCCCCAAATCCCCTCAAGTTTTCTTACCTTTAAAGGCTTACCAGTTCCTGCTGGCAAACTGGCTGCTTTTTGTTCAGGCACCTGCTGCCAGTGAGAGCTTTGGGCCTGTGTCTGCTCTGAGTTCCTGTTTTAACTTCAGCTCTTTTCGCTTCCTGCATCCCAGCCCCCATCTCTGCTCGAGTCATCAGTCCCAGAGCTGGTGTCAATGCTGCAGTTCCCCTGCAGGCTGCCTCTGCTCCGAGACACCGATGCAGTGCAGACCCAGAGTTCCCCCATCAGCACTCTGGAGCCCATCAGGTCCCAGCACAGGGACCTGTGTTTTAAGGAAGATTCTCACGTGGGTATAAAAAACTAAGTTCTGGTGGAGACACAAACTCTGGAGCCAGGTCTTGAGCATACCTTTTACTTTCAATATCTCTCCCCATTACTTGGAAGATTGAGGAGAACACTAACCTTGCTCCTGAACCTTTTTCTTGTTCTGCCCAGGGCCTGAAAACTCCTTTGATCAAACTTGGACTTCTTGTTGCAACATCAACAGTATCCACATGACAGAACCAGAGTGGGCACAGTCCAAAGGCTGCACTGAAATTAAGTCAGTGGTCTGGTGGCATCCCTGTCTCAGGCTCCTGGGAGGCAGCAAACACTCCTGAAAAGAGTCTGGCACCTGGGTGCTTTCACTGTGCTCAGGAGCAAATCTCCTGTGACTGCACCCCTCTGCCGTTTTTCCTCAGCGCTGGCCTCAATGCAGCTCTCTTTAGGAGAGGTGGGTTGGTCTGCCCTGGTGAGGGCACGGGCGTAGGTTCCTTGCACCTCGTCGTGTGCTTTGTCTGACATTCCCAGATCCTCACACCTGTCCTGTAATGGGAGCTGAGAGGATCAGGAGGGTTCCCCTTAGAGCTCCATGCAGTCACTTGCATCCACTCCTCCCCACCCTACCGTTGCCTTCCTCCTGGCACAAAACCAGACCTTGCCCCAGACTCAGCAGTGGTGCTGAATTGGCATGAGGGTCCCAGGGATGACAGAGCACAGCTTCGTTGGTTGACCTCCTTCTCAGGCTCTACTGAAGACAGATCAAAAATCAAGGCACCTATCTGTCCACTGGAGAAGAAACAAAATGTTGAAATGTTTGAGACAGGAAACATCAGCTAAGAGGCCCCATCTTTCATCAGGTCAAACCACAAAGCTGTTCAGTCAGACTATAACTGGGGGACCAGGAGTTCCTTACGAGGTTTTATTCCTATATTCAATCTAAGCTATAACTGTTCCATCTGCAGGTATAAAACATTTTAATGTATCTGAGACATCAGAATCGTGCCTTTCTTCAGTTCAGGAAAAAAACCAAACATGGGCTTTAAGGAAACATACTTTTCTTACAACCCTTGCTCCTGTTAAACACAGTGGAAACATTATCTACAGCCTTACAACACCCCAATTCTGGCTTTTGTTCCAGTGGTGGTGGGGGCTGTAGTAGTGACTATGAACAAGGGCACCTGTTTTTGGCTACAGAAAGTTGGAAGGGAACAGTTTAACTGTCCCATCTGAATTACCAGCACATTCCAGCTCACTGTTGCCAACTTCTGTATCTATCCTGGGGTTGCTCAACTCTAACAGAGTGCAGCGTTCAGGCAAATGGGGAAAAGTAAACCCAAGTAAAGACTGTTTTACTGGAATTGCTTTCACAATGCATGCAATGGTTTGGGTTGGAAGGGACCTTAAAATTAGTTCCACACACTCCTGCCAGGAGACATTGCCTATTCAAGTGCTTATTTCCTTATTTTGTCAGCTGAAAAAGGCTGAGCAAGAGGTGAGATAGGGAAAAAGGCATTGACACTGTATAAAGAAACAGCTTCTGCAACCATCACACAAGGCAGCTCACACAAGAGACTATGTCCCACACAAGGTGTGGTGATACAGCAGCACTACACACTCCACTTGGACAGTTACATGACAATGTGACACAAATTCCATCTGAAAAATAAACTTTATTATACGTACAGGAGCCCATACCCCAGGAAGCTACAGACAAACTATTTGGTCACTGCATTTGACACAGTCAGAGGAAGGTTATGCTGATAATCATGGACAAAAGGATATATAGTGCCAGTGCTCTGGACCTGCCAGAGATCCAGCTGGTTTAGCTACCAGTGAAATCAATCCATCCTCAAACAGGCTTTCTGCACTGGCTAGAGCAGCTTAGTTTACCAGCAATATCAAAAGAACTACCTCTTTCCCATGGGAAAAATGTGACTGTTAATGCTCTACTAAGAGGCAGATAGGATTCTCCTGGCCAGCACTCTGAATGAAACGACCACTCAGGATCTGACAGCGACTGGAACTTCTTTTGCATTCAACATTCTCCTTTTGGAAGAGGGCAGTCTGAAATTCAGATTTTAGAAAACATATGGAAATTTTCACGTATCTTAAAAGATCCAGTCCATTTGCATAACTTGATTTGCGTCCAAACATGCTCAAACACCAGTACTAGCTTTCAACACCAGAGATACCAGAAGATTTCAGAACTGTGGCTCCTGCCTCAGTACAGGGGAGAGAGAGTTCATTTCTGGAGTTTCTGCCTTTGCTTTGACCCACACAGCACATTATGGACCCCTTCAACACAGCCTGAGCAGGTCTGGACTCATGACAAATTTTTAGTGGATGAGAATGCAGGAGCTGGGCTGCTCTAATTTCTAGAGGTAAGGCAGCAGCTTCCATCATGAGAGGTGCACAAATGCTATAAATAGGAGGGTTTTTAACTTAAGAGCTAAAAACTTTCATGTTTGCTATTCCTTTTAAATAATTAAATTACTGGTATTGTTTTACAGGCTTGTCAGGGCAGACATATGACTGATTATAAATGGAATGCTCAACCAGGGCCACATATACGAATTTTGGCCCTTCTTCAACAGGAGATGCAATTGAGCAGGAAACACGATTTTAAGATTCACATTCCTTAAAGTGCCCATAACTTCCTTAGGATATGCATTTCAGACAGCTCTGAGCCATGGAGCAAATCTAAGGGGCGGAAGAAAGGGAAGACAATTCTTTCACACCCAGCTACAGTGTCCCCCCAACCCCACTCATGGATTCAGCCTAAGCAGGGGAAGACTGTGCAGTTTTAGAAGTGCTGAAGTACTGCAGCTACTCAAGAGTATTTTTCTTCTTCCTACTGCAGCACAATATCTATAATGAGTAGTACTACTTCCAGGTACAGGAACAGATGCTGTCCTTGAGGCTTGTAGCAAAACCCTGGCTCAGAAAATGAACCACTCGTGTAGAAACACCAAGGGAAGGACAGATCTCCTGGGAGCAGCTCCCCAGCACCAGCACTGACTCTGACAGCAGCACCCAGGTGCTGGGAGCAGCTGCTGCTTCAGGGCTGGCTTGGGAAAGGCTGCAGCTGGGACAAGTCCGCCCTTCTATGAGGGTGTGCAGGCCTCGGCATGCACAGGGCTGAGGCTCCAGAAAAGGCTGTCGCTCCTGTTCACAGGTGGCCTGTAAAGCACAGCAAGAGCAGGACATGGAGAGCAAGCAGATACACGGCCACTAGCAGAGGCAAGTGGGTCCTGGAGCGGAAGAGAGAGCGTAACAGCCGCCGTAGTCCAAGAGTACTCCGAGTCTGGAAGAGGAAAGAGAGAGCAGTCACTACAAGGAATGGCTGTGTCCCCAGCTGCCTTCATCCACAGCTTTCCAGACCATGGAGAGAAGTTTGTTTAAGCTAATGAGCATAACCCTTCTCCAAATCATTCCACTGTCAGATCCTAACACTAGGGCAATCCTCATGAAATTTTCCTCTTCCCCTGCTCTCTGCAGGTTGTCCATGAAACAGTCCCATCCAATTTTGTTTCTAGCATGGCAAGAGCAGAAAAACTACACAGAGCCGAGTGATTTATGTGTGTCTACAGAGGAATTTAACTGCTGTAGGTTTACAGTTTCTTGAATCAGCTGGGGCTCACATAATTGACAGCTGTGAATGTTAAATTCTTACTCTGCTGGAGTTATTATCCATGGAGTCAATCAGCAAGGCCTGCTCGTGACCTGGAGTCATATCCATGCTGGCACTTAAGGAAGATCCCCACTCACTTGACTGCAACCTGCCACAACAAACATGAAATTAAATTCTGTTTCTTATTATGATGCCCCAAATCAACACTGTTATCAAGCTTAGGAAAGAAATAACTTTCATTTGTACAGGTGTCATGCCTCATGAACTCACATTAAGCAAAAGAACAGGGTGACCCAACTAACAAGGAGTCCTTCCTTTCAAGTGAAATTTTATAGCATGACTTGAAAGAAGCAAGGGCAGATGAACACACTTCTATGTTTTAAATTGTGTGGAATTATTTTAGAAGCCAGCTCTGGCTGCAATAGTGCTGTTTTTTCCTATTTTCTAGTGTCAGAGGCAGCACAGTCACATCCTGGGCCTATGGTTCATTAGTGAGATCAGCTGCTTTTATAGACTTAAATGCCAGCAGGAGCTACAGTTGTCCAAACTGTGTAGCAATTATCCGGGAACTTCGTCCAGAATTCTTCCATACAGACCATTATTTTTTGGCTGAATCAGTGAGTGTGTCAGAAGAAAGGAACTGTTTTCATATCAAAGACTCCACTAGTCTGTAACTCCAGTTATTTGAACTACTAGGAAATGCACAGCACAAGTGCCTACAATCAAGTGCTAAAACCCCCTCCGTAGCCAATGAGGAGAATCAACCATTTGGAACCTGCTGCTCACTGCATCCTAATCCCAACATCTAGTCCAGGCCAGCCACCTTTGCTCTGCTGACTCTCAGGGCATGTGTGCAGTGCCCTGAGATATGCAGAGTCCTGTGCAGTGCAGACCCCAGTCTGCTGGACACTGGGGACAGGGCAGGAGAAGAGTCTAGGCCAAAGCTCAGCCTGGGAAAGGTGGACCAAAGTCCTTTCTCCTAAGCGTTCAATTGTTTCTCAATAACCAAATTAATGAAGTTTATGTCAGTTGGCAATACATTAGAAACGAGTGACATTCAAGTCAAAACTGTTTCATGCCTGACAGATAGGTGCTTACTGAGGAGACAAATCTCCTGGAAGCATGAGAACTCCTCTTCAGCCTGCACCCAATTCTCAGTCTCCAAATTATATCTTCCAGTAGTTAATTTAACTAATCGAGAAAGTTAACATCTAATTTCTAGACAGAACTTGTCTTAATGTCTAATAATTTGTCTCATTCTATCTACCTACAACTGAAGGAACTGAATTTCCTGAACTCCAGAAAATACTTTTTCACAGTAAGGGTGACTAAGCACCACACCAGTTGTCAAGGGAGGTTGTGAAGTGTTCCTCTTTGGAAACACTCGACAGCCATATGGACACGGTCCTGGGCAACTGGGTCTAGGTTGGGCCAGATGGTCTTTGGAAGCCCCTTCCAACTTCAACCTTTCTGTGATTCTGTGACAGACACAGTAGTTGTCTCTGTGCCCTCAGTGCCATTTGACAGATGGATGTGACGAAGTGCAAACGAAAAGCAGAGCTAGAACCACCACACTTGCATGGTGATAGTGTTTGTTTGCCCAAGCTGCCTCACCTCCTGATCTGATCCTGTGCTGCAAAAAGTGCCTCCTCTGCAGCAAGACAACGCTCCCGCTCTTCCTCCAGCTGCTCCTCCAGATACTTCATATCCTGCTTTGTGCTGCTATGTAAATGTTCTGTTTCAGACAACCTGTCAGAAAGTAACAAAGCATATGCCAAAAAAGGCCTAATTCATGGACTATTGTGTTTCTATTTTATTCACTGATGCAGTGTGTGAATAGATCCAAATTACCTCCCAGCTCACACAGAGACTTAGTCATCTTTACTATATTTAAACTATTTGGAAAACATGAGAGAAGATAAATCTCTTGAAGCTTCTGTTTCATATCAGGAAGGAGTTTCTTGGCTCTGTCACCATGGCTCCACCTTCTGAAAATCCCCATCCCTGTTTTCTCAGGCTTTCCTAACCTCAGCTGCAGCTCCTGAAGTTCAGGTGTGTAAGTGCCTCTCTGTGGTTCATTCTTCTCTTGGGGTGCTCCTGGAGCAGCATCTGTTGCAAACAGCTCCTGAAAGAACAGAGGAATGTCCTGCAGACTGCACTGAATGAAGAGGACATATTGCCACTACAACGCTGACAAGCTCACAGAGCCACTTGAAATGAGCTTTTCCCTGCTGTGCACCAAGCCTGGCTCCCTTACCATGCTCTTGTCTGCAGCCTGCAGCTCCTGGAGCTGCCTCTCGAGCACCAGGCAGCGGTTCAGGATCTCGCTGTAGTGCTGATGGCTCTCACGACTGCTCCCACGGAGCTGGAGGGAGAGGGCATTTTTCTCCTCGAAGACCTGAGATAGCTGAGAAGAGAACACGACTGGCAAGCTAATAAATTGATTTTGTGAAAGCAAAATTTTTCTCTAACTGATGGTAAGAATTCTCTTGAGAGCACATAATTGCCACACTGCCCATCACTAACGTCCAAAGACCAGTGATGATCTCCAAGAGTAGCCTGTGGCAAAGGTTTCTGAAACACGAGTCTCAAAACATCAAAGAAATATACAGAATACTACATGTCCAGAACAAGATTTCTCAAGTGCTGATATTGACCTAAGCCATTCAGAAATGTCATCAGTAAATTATGATTTTGTTCTCAGTTTCTCCTTGAACACAACTCTCTTTCTGAAGATGGATAAATCCAGGGTCTTCCATTTCAGTGTGGGGATTGACTGATTGTGATTCTGCACTGAAATTTAGGAATTGTTTCAAGCGGGCAGGCAGAAGTGAAGATGACAAGCTTGCCTTCCCAAGGAGGGACTTCCTTCAGCAGAAAGTGCTCCCAACAACAGATATGGAACCTGTAAACAACTTTCTTCATATGGTCTTGCTCTCTGGTCCCTTTGTCAGGTCTTCATCTCCCCCCATCCAACTTCTTTCCCTTACTGTCCTCTCCATCTGTGCTCTCTTCCCTCCTTTCCCCTTCTCTCACCTCTTTCTTTCCTCTGCCTTTCTCCCTTTTGTCACCTGGGAGAAAGGGCACAGAATTGCAGTGGCAGAAAAGCTGCTGATCCAGACCCTGTCACTGAGCCTGCTGGATGGGAGCCGCATGGGCCTGGATATCTTTCTGTTCATACAGAACAGATGTCCCACTCGTGGCTTCTGTCTCCAACACTCTGCCTCTCCCCAGCTGCTCACTGAGGGAGAGCAGGGACATGGAGGATGGGCTCTGGTGTTGGGCAAGCCCTGTTCAGCAACAGTGAATCCAGTGGTGTGATTCTAATACTGCTTTTTTGAGGGATGTATTTCTGATTTTGTGTTACTTCACTGAATGCCCACAAGGATAGATTCATTCCTGCTTCCTGAGCCCTGTTCCAACCTAACCCTCCCCACATTCCTTGTTCCTGACTGCAAGCAAATATAAGACATGGATCAGTACCTTGCTGTTTAACTGCTGAATTCTGAGCTCTTTCTGGTGCAGTTCTTTCAGACTGTCATTTAGCTGGGCCTGGAGGTGTTTCATCTCTATTTCTAGGCTTGAAAAGTCCCCTTTCAAGATTTCTGGAGAAATCTGACAAGGAATGAACAATGAAAAATATACTGCACATGTGACAACTTGCTCTTGTGTTAGTTCTCTCTTTTCAGTATTCCAAGGTCAAACCCAACATTATTCCTAGACCTGGAACTTGATCTGCTCAGGCAAAAGAGCAAATGGGGAATAAACAGAAATATCCTAAAAGCCATATGAAAATACAAACAGTTAGGAAAGATCACCAAACTTGCACATATGATGGGTCCTGCTTGAAAGTTTTCTTAAAGCTGTTTACAATACTGCAAGAAAAAAAAAAGGCACATGAATCAGAAAATAAAAAAAAAAAAAAACAAACAAAACCAAAAACCTAAAGCAATGTCCACACTGCTCTAATCAACAAAGACCAGAAGGCCAGCACTGAAGAATCCTCCTGGAAAGCATCTCATGAACATTGTTCAAGCTTTTTCTTTGCATATATACACGGGTGTATCATAGGGATAAAGGAGATTTGCTACCCCCTCCACTGATATAAAACCACTGGAACATTGCAGACATGGGTGGGAGAGTTCTCACTTGGTACTGATGCACTGCACTGTGCATGCAGCCCGCCCCCCCAGACAAACGAAATACCAAACACATTCCACTTCACTTTTAGGACTATATACAGGGGGAATAAGAGAGAAGGTGCCATGCTCAAGCCTCAGCCTCTCTGGGCTTGAACCAGGACTGTAGATCCCTGTTACAGTAAAAACAGCAAGAAAAATTCAATAGAAAACTTAAAAATTAAGATGCGACATTAAAATGAGAACTAAGGCAGAAAATCTTAGATTCAAAGACAGTGCAAGAGGGCAATTCTAAAACAGCCAGAATACACACCTGAGAAGTTCCATGCTGCTCCAAAGGACTCAAGGAGCTTAGGAAGCCCTGTCTCTTTTACCTTCTTTCTTGAAACACTGGAACCCAAGAACTTAAGGAAGAGCACTTAAGGGAATGCCATAATTTCTACAACTCTCAGTGATGCAAGTTAGACTGTTGGTATTATCTTGGGAGGCCTCACAACCACATCCAATACTGCAGTCTGTAGGAGCTGGACACAGGCAGCACACACTCTTCTGGCTGAGTTTCAAGCTTCCTATTTCCAGTAAAGAATCTGTATCTTTCTACTCACCTTGCTTTGGTGTCGGTCCTCTATGGTTTGAGACTTGCTGAAGGGCAGCCTCATTTCCTGTGTCATCCTTTGTAAATGGCTCAGCTGCCTGTCCTTCTCTGCTATGGCCATCAGGTACTGCTCCTTCATGCTGCTGCTCTGCTTCTCCCAGGTGGTCTTCTCTTGTCTGCCCAGCATAAAACAAGGGAAATTACAAGGAAGTTACCAGTATCACTTAATGATGTCCAGGTATCCAGCCAAGAATGAGCCAAGGGTGATTTGATCATCACCTCATGCTAGACATGAAGTTTTATAACCAAGCCAAGCCAAAACAACACACTTAAGTACAGAAAGCTGAAAAACAGGTTTAAGGAAGTTTTCTGTGTTTGGTTGAACACTTTGGATTGTTCCATGCTGTCCTAGGGTGACTTTTTCACACATTTAGAGCTCCTGGACATTGGTTTGATCTCGCTGCACAGAGTTTTGTCAAGGAAGTCACTGGCAATGCCACTTGTCCCCACAATAATTTCTCTGCACAGTCATATGTGCACCAGACCCACAATACTGATCCCACCACACCAACCTGAGGCCATCACTCCATGTACAGTGTAAAAGCTACACAGGAAATAAACCTCCTGCTATTTTTGTCAGGATAAATAAAATTTGTAAGATGCTTCAAACTTTACAAGATCTGAAGTGTTAATTAGAGGATCAGATCGAGGGCCGGGGGAAGGGAGAGAACTACAGATTTTTATATCACCCTGGACAAAGATAAGCCACAGACCTTTCCACAAAGAAAATCCCACCCTTTTCATTCAAGCCTCAGGCATTCTTAAATGGATCTCTGAAATATCTGAAAGCATTTTCCTCCCTTTCCAGAACAGAGCATATTTGTCTGACTAGTTTCAGTCCAGTTGGAGAAGACAATTTTACTACACTTGAATTACAGAGTTTAAAAAACCCCAAAAAACTAGAAGACACAGAGCAAGTGAAATAAAGGATTAAACAGCCATTAAAAAAAATTACTATGTTCTAAACGATGATATCAGTGGGATTATAAAGGGTGTTCAGTAGCAGCCTAGAATGGAGAGTAATATGATCATATAAATAAGCTCCAATACAAGAAACAGCCTCAACTTCCTCTCCAACAGATGATATTGACCACCACTGGATGAAGGAAATAAAAACTAAAAGGTCATTGATCTATTTCCACAGGCATTGACCTCCAAGCTGCTGGGCTGCAATTCCAAGGCAGAAGCTGGACAAGAGGAACAAGTGCCCTGTCCTGGCCAGGGCAGAGTGCCTCTCTGTCACCTGGCACAGCCCAGCCTGCAGCTCTCAACAGTCCCTCCACCTCTGCCTACATCTGCTCTTCGAGAGAAACAAACACATTTGCAACCTCCTCGAGGCACGGAGCAGACAGACAGTTCACCTGAGCTGCTGGAGCTCCTGCTGGTACACAGCTCCTTCTTGCTTCAGTTGTTCTTGCAGACAAAGCTGTTTCTCTGCCTCTTGCTCCCACTGCTGCAGTTGTGCCTTTAAGCGAGAATTCTCAGCAGCTTCCACCCCGACCAGGATGTATTGCTGCTGCAGATTCTCCAGTTCTCTTACCTGGAATCAAAGAGAAACATCAGTGTGTGACAGCTGAGCAAGCATCAAGTTTATTACTTGGAACTGCTTAAGAGCATTTCTCACTGTGGTGTCTGGTGAGAAAAAAGGTCACATTCACATGAAAGAGGAACTAGAAATTGAATCATTAAATACAGCAGTGTACTAAAAACTGCTCAGAAAAAAACCTTCAGACAATTCTATTGTTAATGAGGGCAGGCTACAATATTATCTTATTCAGAGGCAAACTAAGTAACACAGGAGCTGGTTAAGCATAACTCCTGAAATTGGTATTTACTGTAAACCAGGAAACTGCAATTCCAGTCAGGCTGTAATTAGAAATAAGTTGTTGTTACACATGCACCACTGCAATTGTTTTTGAAGATAAGAAGACACGTCTGTCTCTGGAGACAAGACAGTGCTTAATGAGTGGCAGTGGGACAGAGCTGCCAAAGTCTGTCTTCTGACCAGCATCAAGAACTCTGGAACTTGTTGGGCTGCACTGTGCTGGAGACTGTGCAAACACACACCCATCCAGTGTGCAGGCAAGGATGTCAAAAGGAATCTGCAATGTCTTGTACCTGCCTTGAAAAATCAGCTGCCACGAGGAGGATGAAACTCGAGCCTCTGTCCTAGTCTCTTTTAGAAATCTAAGGCAAATCAAATGAGCTGACAGATGTGAACTAAGCAGGTTCAGATGTGAACTAACAGGGGCCTTATTTCCATGATTTCATATTTTAAACTAAGCTAACAGAGAAACCACCCTGGGAAGTTAACAATGGAATCAAAGCCTCCATGTCAGAGAAAATAATATAGATGGCCTATATCAGATCACTGGGGTCTGATGGAGCATGCCCATAAATGCTAAGGTCATTTGGAGGCAACTCCATTACCTCTGAAAGGTCATGATGACCCAAGAGGTTCCTGAAGGCTGGAAGAAAGCTAATATCATCCCTACTTACAAGAAGGGCAAGACAGAAGAACTGTGAACCTGTGGTCTGGTCAGCCTCAACTCCATCCCTTGGAAAGAGAGGGAGCAACTAATTCTGGAAACCGTTTCCAGATACATGAAAAAACAGGTTGGCCAGAGAAGCTGTGCAATATTTACCAATGGAGATATTCAAAATCGAACAGGACATTGTACAGAGCAACTTATTCCAGCCAACCTTGTTTGTGCAGGGGGGCTGGACTACAAGATCTCTAGAAGATGTCCAGAAGACCCTTTGAATCTCAACTATTGTGTGATTTTGTGAAGACAATGATTTACGCATCACATTGCAATTACCAGATCTAAGTGTGCTGAATTTTAAGACTTGAAGAACCAAACCTCCTGTGGTGCTTTAAGTAAGAGTAGGAAGAGAGAACATGGACTTACTACTCTGTCTCTGTCACTCTGCAAGGAGGCCAGTGCCTTCTTCAGACTCTGCACTTCTGAAGAAGTGGTGGAAGTGCTCCCTTCAGCTTGTTGTTTCACTTCTTCAATCTTACGTGTTTTGTCCAATTCATTCAGCAGACGGTCTCGGTCATTCTGCAGGCTTGCCAGAGCCTTGGAGAAAGATTTTACTTGGTTGGAAGAGCCTTCCAATTCCAAAGACAAGCGGAGAAGCTCATCATCTTTAGCTCTGAGCTGCAGATTAAGTTTCTCAATGTGGGCTAAGAGACCTCTTTCATCAGTAGCCTTCTGCAGTTCTGTCAGCTCAGACCTCACTGTATCTCGCTCCCTAGCAGTGGAACATTGCTCCTCTTGTATCTGAGCCATCTGTCTCTGAAGATTCTGCACTAGACTCTTTTGTTCCTCTAAGTCTTCAGAGTATTTCTGTTTCAAAACATGAAGCTCTTCATTGGCCTGGTCTCGGCTATCCTGAAGAGAGCTCATGGACCTCCCAAAAGACTGAATTTGAGCTCTGAGATCTTTGTTTTCATCTGTGACTGCAAGCAATTTCTGTTCCATTTCCATCAAGTCCCTTGCCAACTCTGCAACCCTCTCTTCTGCTGTCTCGGTCTCGTTCCTCATTATCCCTGCATCATGATGCAAGTGCTTCAGTTCCTTACGAAGCCTATCCTCAGCCTCTCCCACTCTCTTGGCTGCATCCCTCTGAACACATTCTAGCTCCCCCTCGAGCTCTGTCACTCTTTTCTGGGACAGGGAAAGCTCACGACTCAGTTCTTGTACCTCTTTCTCTTGAGCCTTCAGTTCTGCTCGACACTGCACAATGGGACTTCCCTCATTTAATGCTGCCATCTCACTCTGCACCTGGGACAGAGAGGACACAAGGATTTCAATCTCTTGAGACATAGCGACTTTATCCTCCCTTAAGGTTTCCATGCACTTCCTGAGATCATCCTGAGCATGCTGAGACTCTTTCAGCTGTGTTTCTATGGTTGCCTTCTCATTTTCCAGAGTTTGGATCCGCTGAAGCTGTATTTTGAGAAGTTGCTTCTGTTGGGAGTCCTTTATGGAAATCACTTGGTTAAGGTCTTCTCTGTACCGTACCAACTCTGCGTTTAGCTTGGCATTCTCAGAGTTGAGGTCATCCATCTGGCTATGGAAACTTCTCATTTCTTCCTTGAGCTTGTTGTTTTCAGCAGCAGCCTCCTGAATTAGCTGGTCTTTTTCCAAGATTATAACAAGATGGCGTTCCTCAAGCTGCTTGTAGTCCCTCAGTATGCGGTCGCGGTCATCCTGCAGAGATGACATGGACTTGGTGAAGGAGTCCAGTTGTGCTTTCTGCTGCTTACTCTCTTCTCTGCTTATCTTCATCTTTTCAGTAAGATGATCAAGTTTGTCAAGACATTTGTTCTTCTCATTTTCCAAGGCTTTTTTATCTTCTTCCTCCTTACTTAGCCTACACTCCAACTCTTTCACCTCTTCAGAATGCTGCTGCTGTAATTCAGCTAGAGCAGCCATCACTGCTTCTTCTTTGGCAGACAGCAAACTCATGATCTTTTGATCTTTGGCACTGGTTTCTTCATGCAGCTTATTTGTTAGGTCCTTGGAAGCCTGCAGATCAGCTTCAAGCTGTTCACAATTGAGTTTAAAATTCTGGATACTGGTCTCTTGTTGCTTGACCACAGTACCCAGCTCTTCCCTGGCCAGCTCACATTTGGTAAAGGAATTCTGTAAGTCAGCAAGCTGGTCTCTCAGGCTGCTGATTTCTGACTGCAGCTCTTGCTGCTCATTCTGAGACTTGCTGTACAGTTCCTGAGACCCCTCAAGCTGAGTTAAAAGCGCTTTTTTTTCCTCCTGCAAAATTTCACATGTCTTTTGATGATGCTGAATCTCCTTCCTGCAGTCAGCCTCCCAGTCCTTCTTGTTGCATTCCAGCCTGAAAACAGAAGAAATTAAGGTGGTCAAAAATTCACAAGGTATCTCAATATCTAAACCCACACTAATGCTGTTCTTAAACTAATTTAGAAAAGCCACAGAATTTGTTTTACCTAAAGAAAGCAAGCTGTAAATATCTCTCAATTTAAAATTCCAGATATCTTTTTGACTGTACTACTGCCTGAAAGAGGTAGTGCCAGGGGAATATGGTCTTAAAAAGTTGTGTCAATACTGAAAAAAATGGAGGCACTTAAACACTGCATGTTATCACCTCCTTGTCATTACATCACTTCTCTCATCATTGTAGCTAACAATAAAAAATCCCACATCACCTCACAATGAAATTGCTGTTCTAATACCTTTGATGTCCATTTCATGCTTCAGTGTGCAAAAGAAGATACAGCATATAAACTTTATAAAACAATTTTACTCATGTAAGAATGGTTTGGTTTTGAATTTTGGAAAAACACAGATGTATACATATTTTGATAGATTTCCATAGCTCCATCTTCCCCTTAAAATTTATTTTGGGATTAAACTGGAATTATGTATGCTCTCTTGACTTCTCAGTGCAAAAACTCAGTACAAAAGAAACTAATTAATCTGAAATTGGAAAGACTCTGGATAGTAATCAGATGGTGAGTGCTTGTCACAGAGAACAGATTTTACACAGGCATCCTAACAAGGACTATTCTAGAGTGAACACCCCGTGTCCTCCTGCAGCCAACAAATACAAAGTAACCTTTTCCTGATAAACCTCCCTGACACAGCTTATTTACCTGGATATTTGAGACTGGAGTTCTTTCACACGCATGGCCATGTGTTTCATCTGGTCCTTTAGCACAACACAAGCTTCCTCTTTTGCCTGTATTTCTTCTTCCTTCTTTTGAATAGTTTCAGTGAATTTCTTCTCCCATGTTTTTGATTCATCTATCACTCTATCCCTATCATCCTGAAGGGAAGACATGCTCCTGGTGAAAGCTGCCAGCTGGGCTAGTGTTTTGTTTAGATTGCCTTCCAGTTGCTTGGCTTCTTGATCCTTTGTCTTCAAGGAGTCTTGCAGATCACCAACTGTTGTTTCCATATGGTCTTTCTCCCTCTGCAATGTTGCTAGCTTTTCTTCCATGATTTTTATTTCCTTTGAGTGCTTGTGTTTTTCCTGTTCCAGTCTTTTCTCAAAGTCCTCATCCTTTTTCTTCATTTGAGTTTTCATTTTCTCTTTGTTTGCTTGCAACTCTTCTTTCACTTTGATACTCTCTGCTAGAACCCTTGCTGCCTCACTCTGAGTGTCATCCAACACCACCCTGCAGAGAGCAAGCTCTGCCTGGGCTTTCTTGGTGTCTTCAAGTGCTTTAGCTAAAGTTTCTTTGGCTGCTTCTACCTCTTTCTGAGTCTCACTCTGCAGAAATTCCAGAGCTTTAACCGTTCTTTCTAAACTACTGTTCTTTTCCTGGCTTTTAATGCAGTCCTTCTGCAGCTGCTTAATCTCCTGCTGTTTCTGTTTCAGCAGTTCCTGAAGCTCCTTTATATGTGTGCTGCTTTCTCCTCTCCAATTGTATTTTAGCTTTTCTACAAATTCCTTTTGCTTTTCTGAACTTGCTTTGCTTTTCTCCTTTGCCATCTGACTTTTCTCCTCCTCCAGATCATGCATCATTCTCTGCAAACTCTGAAGCTCATGTTTCAGTTGATCATTTTTGATTTGGAAGTCTGTTGCATCTTGCTGATAGTTTCCAATACTTCCATTAAGTTCTGCCAGCTGATTCATGAGCCTTTCTTCCAAGTCATCCTTTTCAGCTTCTAGAGCATCCTTGAGTGCTGTCATTCTGACCAGGTCATCTTCAGCTTTTTGGACCATTTGCTCCATCTTTGCTACTGTAGCCTGCAGATCATTTACTTCATGGGCTTTCTCTTCCATTTGGTGCTCTAAAGCCCCTTTCTCACCTTCTAAAGTCTCAATACACCTCTGGATGTCACCCAGCTGTTGCTCTGAAGCCCTTCTATTCTCTTCCAGCTCCATGACTCGCTTGGTGAGCTCAGCTATTTGCTGTCTGTAGATACCAGGATCCTCACAAGGTCTATGACTTTCAAATGCCTCTTGTTCCAGCTCTGCAGCAGGAGGCTCGGGTCTAAAAGTTATGTCCACTTGATTTTCAGACTTTTCCATTAGTGATGGTGTGGTAACTGCTTCATTAGTTTCTTCTCCCATTGTCTGCTGGGCAACATACTTGCCTACAAGTTCTCTGCTTTCCTTCAGCTTAGTTTCTGTTACCTGCAGAAGGCACTTCAAGTCCACGATCTCTTGATTAAGAGATTCCTTTTCAGCCATTACTGTCTCAAGCTGAGTAGAAAGAGACTGGCACTCCCTCCTAGAGCACTCCAGATCTTCTTTCAGGCTAGTGTTTGTAACGCTCTCCCCAGTCCTGTGTAGCTCTCCATTGGTAAAATGCATCTCTGCTCTAAGCTTCTCATTCTCCTCCTCTAGTTCCAGAATCTTTTGTTGCTTTGATTTTGCAAATTTCCTCATTTTCTCCTTCATTTCATCAATTTCTTGTCCAGCTTCCTGTAGCTGTTTATGTGTTTCCTCTTCTTTTGCTTCCGTCCTTTTTAGCTGAATGCAAATTTCCTGCTTTTCCTGCCTAACAGTTTCCAACACACACTGAATTCGCTCAGCCTCGTTACTCACATTCTCATATGACTGCAGCAGAGTTTCATATTCTTCCTGAAGCTCCTTGTATTTCTCCTGCCACTCAGAACTCTCAGTGGCTTGAAAGCTCTTCAATGATTCCATCTCCTTCTCCACCTTCTCTTTCTCTAGAACAACTCTGTCCAGAGTAAGTTTAAGGTTTTTACAGCATTCATCAAGATTCTGATTTTCTCTAAGTAGTTTATCAATTTCTACAGTAAGTTTTTCTCGCTCTCCAGTGAGGCACACTAACTTTTCTCTTAAGGTATCTGTTTCTTTAACACGGACACATATCTGGCTTTCCATATTTGTCAGCTTGACAGAAAGATTGTCAATAGTAGTTTTAGCATTAGCCAGCTCTTCTTTTAGAGATTTGGTCTCCTTCAGTGCCTCTTTTCTAGAGATAAGTGCAGCTTGTAACTTTCTCTGCATTTGATTCTTCTGTTTAGCTGCTTCTGCATTGTCCTCTTGCTTCTGAATTTCAAGCATCTCTGTTTGCAGTCGCTTGCTTTGCTCCTCATGCACCTGAGCCTGAGCTTCCAACTGACTACAGAGTCTTTTGACTGAGTCCTCCTTTTCCAGCAATTGTGCCTGCACATTATTGAGAGCATTACTTTTCTCCTTTAACTGCTGGTTAAGAAATTCCATTTCTTCATCTTTTTGATGCACAAGGATTTTCAAGTCTTCCAGACTGGCCACTTCAGAAATTTTTCTCTGACTCTCCTCCAGTTCTGTCTGAAGACTTGCTTCCTTAGCTTCAGCTTGGTCAGAGGCTCTCTTTAGCCCTTCTATCTCTGCAAACAAGTGTGCTATGTGCTGTTGCAAATCAAAGATTAATTCTGATTTGTGAGCAAGTTCCCTTTGCATATAGCTGACATTACATTCCAATTTCTCTTTCTCTGTCTGCAATGTGTCAATTTTTTTTTTCAACTCTTCCTCAGGTGGAACATCTTCAACTTGTACAGGCCTGTTATTTGTTGTATGTTCTGGTTCCATGCACGAAGAATCCAACATACCTTGACTCCCAAAACCACTCTCTGCTGATCCTTTCTGTTCCTGGAGTTGTCTGAGCTGAGCCTGGATGCTGTCCTTCTCTTTGCTTTGCTGATCAAATTGTTCTTGCAGGATGTTGTAATCATCTTTCTGCTGTTTCAGTTGTTCTCTGTGATGCCTGTCTTTTTCTTGAGCCTTTTTTATAGTGTCTTTGCGAGATACCAGAGCTTCTTGAAGTTTTTTTTGAAGTTGTTCTTTTTCTTGTTCAAGAACTGAAATCCTTTCTTTAAGAGCAGACTTTTGTTTTTCTTCCAGATTTGTACCTGCTGAGCTGTTTTTTTCATTTTCTTCATCACCTTCTGGGCTTTCATTGGTTTCAGTTAATTTGTCAGGATGCTCTATGATTTCATCTGTAACTGAAAGAGTGGTAGCCTTAACCTGCAAGCCTTGCCTCATTTCCTCAATCACTGCCTGCAGTTGTGCTCCAGTAGTTTCTTTATCCTTCCGGATGCTCTGCAACTCGGATTCCTTTTCAGAAAGCAGCTGAATTCGATATTCCTCACCGGGCTGGTTTTCAAGACTCATTTCTTTGCTGATCATACTTCTCATGTTTTCTTCCCCTGCAGCTGCTGGAGCCACTGAGGTTTCTGATTTTTGTTCTCTACTCAGTTGTTCTAATTCATTCTCCAGTCTGGTTACTTTCTTCAGAAGCTCCTTCCTGTTCACAAGTGCTGCTTGCAGCTTCCGCTTCACTTGCTCGTTTTCTTTTCTTAGAAGTTCAATTTGATTTACTAACTCCTCCTTTTCTTTGCTCACTGCTTCGGTCTCATTCTGCTGCTCAGATGCCCCACATTTCAGACATGCACCTTTTGCTCCTATGTTCTGTTCTTTTTCTTCCTGGGCTTTTAATAAAAGACTTGCCTGCTCCTTAAGACTCTTCAGCTCATTTCCTAGAGAAAATTTCTCTTCATTCAGCAGAACCATTTTCTCAGACATGCTGACACTGATCTCTGCCATCTGTTGGTCCTTTTCCAGCAAGGCTTGTTGCAGGCTCTCTATAGACCTGCTGTGCTCAGCAACAAGCTGTTCTAGGCTTGCTGCTTCGTGTCCCTTTAAGGCTAACTTGTGGGAAAGCTCTTCCATCTCTGCTGTATTCTTCCTCAAAAGTTGCTCTAGATCCAGTACTTCACATTCCTTTGTCTCAACCTGGCCTCTCAGATCCTTTAGTTGCATGTCCTGGTCAGAAAGCTGAAGTTGTGCAGCATCCAAGTCCTTTTGCAAAGCTTCAATTTTTATATCCTTGGATTTAAACTCATTTTTAAGGCTCTGGATTTGCTCTCTTAGAAGACTGCTTTGACTGTCTGACAGTCTCTGCTTTTCTGAAAGAGCTAGCTCTGCCTCCAGCTGCTTAACTTGCTCCTTCAGCTCTGTTACGGTAGATAGTTCTTTTGCGTGACACAAGAACTGATCTTGTTCTTCAGTCAAAACACAAAGTGTACTGTCAGGATCCTCTCCTGTTTTTCTGTATTCCTCAGCCAACTGGTTTAGCCTATTTATTTCTGCACATTTTTCTTCTAGTTCTTTCCTAAAGGATTCTTCTGATTTCTGCAGAATTATTTGCAGTTCTGCAATTTGGTTTTGTAATTTTATTAGTTCTTGAGATTGAGAGGTGCCAGGGCTTCCCTGAGGCTCTTCTTGGAGACTGATTACATTTTCCTGAAGAAAGCCACTTTGTTGCATTTCTGTTTCTCTCAGTAATGAGACACACTGTGTATCTGAGGCCTTCTGCTCTTCCCTCTCCAGACACTGTGTCTGTGAATTCTCTTCTGTTTGATTGCCTATAGAAGTTTGGTCACTGGGACCCTTGAGCTGGCTTTTCAGGAAAGTTATTTCTTCTTGGGCTTCTTTCAGTTCCAGCAGCAAAACTGACAGCTCTTTCTGTTTCTCTGCAGCAATATATTCTAGAATTCCAGGTGGACAACTTTTCTCAGTAAACTGCTTGCTTCCATTGGTAAAGCCATCTGTTCTTGCCTGGAAGAAAATAGCAGTATCATTTTTCCTTTGAATCTTGTGAAAGGGCCACTTTTGGAAGTATCTGCTTTCCACACTTTTTCACTTTTGTTGTAGCTTTCTCAAGCTGACTTCTGCAATACATAGACTCCTTGCTAATAATAGGGGGACTCTTGGCAGTGGGAGATGGACTAGGTGACGTCCAGAGGTCCCTTCCAGCCCCAACTATTCTGTGATTCTGTGACTTTCCAGGTCACTTCTGCTAATTTCAGTTTCTGAAGTCACAGCATGAAAGATTCTGGCTTCAGGATCAGACCATAAGGGCACCTTCCGATTCCCTTTTCTCCCCTTCTCTCTTGATTACAAGACAGTATAACTCTGAACTGTTCAAGTTCTCCCGTGATTCTCACAAGCTCTCTAGTGTACTTAACCAGCCACATTTTCGTGGCATCCTATCATAGTATTTGAGTAAAGGAGGTTTTGTCCCCTATCTATCTGTCCATTTAACAACCCTTCAAAGCAGCAGGATAGAAGCCCATATTCCAATCTGTGCTCATGTCCAAAATGAAAGCACTACACAAAGCACCTGCAACGAAGTGCTTGGCTTTTTCCACATAACTATCTTAAGGTTTCATCCCATCCCCCAAAACAGATTGCAGAAGAAAAGCAATCACAAATCCTCCCCAGAAAGCTTGGATCAACAGCCCACCACCAAGTCAATCTGCTGCACTGTAAAGGCAGTTCATCAGTTTGGAGGGCAGAAACAAGTTATGAGGAACTATTGAAGGAGAGCTGCTTTTAAAAAGTCTGCTGTCTTAATGAAACAACCACTTTAAGTCATAGGAGCTTAAAAAAAGCCAACTCTTCGGGGCTTCTAAACTGAATTAAAGTTTTCGTATCTGCAAATGCATACAACACTGAGACCAAAACGGTTTTGGACTACATTTGTACCTCAGAGAGGATGGAAGTGTCACCAAAAGGCTTTTGCATTTCAGAATTCACCAGCTCTCCTGACACACCTAGTGAAAAAAGGTACACTTGTCACCATCAGTGTAACGACTTGCAGGTAAAGTCAGGAGGTAAGTGAAGGGAAAATAAATGGCACCTGAGATTCTACAGAAGGTGAGAAAAGAAAAAAAAAAAAA